CCTGGCTGAATCCAGCACACCTGTAGTCTCTGTTCTTCCCCAGCTTCCTGCAGCGCAGCTTTACAAGCTCTCGGCTCCTGGCGATGTCTGTCCCACTCTAAGTTCACGCCTGCTGTTCTTACCGACCCTTGCCAGCAGTGAATGAAGGCCGACTGCAGGGGGGCAAGTCTGCGGTGGCATTTGGGAGCTCAGGGAATGACACAAAGCAGTCCCGGTTTGTGCCCCCAAGTATTCACCATCTAATGGGACCTGGCAAGAACACAGCAGACCGGGTTCCAATTTACAGCCACTTCTCCCCTGAGCTAGGGCGCTTTTTTCCTCAATTATTGTTATTTTTTTAAGCTGACAGGCTTGTAGCTACCATTTTCACCAGAGAATTACTTGTTTTGGTGCAGATGCGAATGAGAGCAACATGCAGAGGTGACTCCGCTGCACCCGTTTGCTACTCTGTTGCAGTTTTCCAACACTGCAACTCTGATTTCTCACTTTTCCCCAATTAACCATTTCATTCTCTTTTTTACATAGAAGAACGTTTCTTGAGTAGTGACAGATCTCTAGAAGCTATTCACACAGACAACTAGAGGAAAGCCTTGGAAAAGCTTCTGGTCTCCTGAACACTGTTCGGGATTTCAAACACCAAGGAACAAACCCAAGGGGGACAGCACCTCCTGGTTTGCCTGGGTTTGCCTGGCGTGCAGCTCCGTGAGGTGCAAAGGGAGAAGCCTGCACCCACAGGCATCCAGAATCAAAGCCGCATCAAGTGAGGTGATGTCAGACGGGGAAAAGCCGCTGTTCTGAGGCCCAGGAGAGCAGCCACTGCACTCCCGTTCCTGTGTCACGTGGCTGCAGCTGGGTGCCTCATGCCTCGGACCCAACGACACAGGGTGCAGGAGAAGATCCGTTGCCTGTGCTGTCAAGCCCACCGTTGGTTTGATTTCACGAGCTTGCACGAAAACCAGTAAGCTCAAATGAAAAGGCAACAGCTGCAAAGGTTTCCGAAGAAAATAATCCAACCAAGCCTGAAGCCTGAACGGAGGCGGCTCGCTAGCGGGAATTTACTTTATGGCCAGAAGAGGGCACTTGAAAACCAGCCGAAGATGCTGGATTTGGGGTTGGCTCTTCTTCCCTTGAGCACCTCCTATTGCCAGTCTGTTAGCTCACCTCCAGGTTCCAGGAGATGGACCAGCCCCGAGAGTAAAGTCTCCTCCTTTCCAGCTTCCTACTGTATGTGCAGTGTTCAAAACCCTCTGAATCTGACACAGGATCCTCCAACTTCCCTGTCACCAGCCGGCTGCCGCATCCTACCTTCAAACATTCTCAGCCCCGCGGTACACGAAAGAAAACCCAGTACAGCCGGAGAGCTGCCATTCTGGAGTCCTGTTTCTGGTTACGTACCAGGTTACAAGTTACTGTTACATGTAGGTAATGCCACAGGCTCGGGAAGCAAGGGAAGTGGCATCCAAGAGTTTTAAGGAGAGGAAATTCTAGATCCTGTCAGGTTACCAAGAATCCTCTCATTTGCTGGAAAAAAAAAAAAAAAAAAATCTCATCGGAGACACTGGGCCATGTAGGGCACTGAACTTCTCATTTTTACTGTCTCCTAAGTACTACAAAACTGTAAGTACAGGGAAAATCTTGCCCCCTAATACCAGGTGATTTTTCTGTGTGCAAAGCACTGGCAATCTGAACACGCCGTTTCGTTCTTTAAACAGTCCCTCTGCGAGGGCTGTTCAAGGAAGAAACTTCCCAGTCCTTTGCCAGAAGGGAAGATCAACAGAATCATTACAGAAGATGGAAAATTATACAGCCCCTAACATTTATTCTGTAACTGCAGGAGGGTAGGAACGGAAACCTCAGCTTTGAAACACGCAACCTATTTTGAAAGGGGTGGGATTGTTCTTCACGGACGCCGTACCAGACAGCCTACCGACCAGCGATGGAAGTTTCTCGTAGAGGGTATTCCCACCGCCAGATAGCAATAAAAATAAACTGAATTTCAGAGCTGTTCTTAGGCATTTGGCCTTAGGCATTTGCGTATTTTTATATTCTACACAGATGCTGTTTATGATTCAAAGTTACACTGAAAAGTTATTAATGCTTCCTCACCGTACCAACATCAGTCACGTTCAGCGCCATGAAGCCCCCACAGAATGTTCCCAGACAGGGTGTGTATTTTTACCTTATCTTTATCCACGCCGGGCTCTCTGTACGCTGTCCATCTCTGGGCATCGTCGCTGTACAAGATTCTGTAGGCTGAGACGTAATAGTGGAACTCTGCTAAGGTTGACCCAGTAGTTATAATACCTTTGAAAGTGAAAGCTCCCAGTTAGACAAAAACACGGTAGCAGTTTGTAAAAACTATAGAATCACAGAACCACAGAACGGTTGGGGTTGGAAGGGGCCTTAAAGACCATCCCGTTCCAACCCCCCTGCCATGGGCAGGGACACCTTCCACTAGACCAGGTTGCTCCAAGCCTCATCCAGCCTGGCCTTGGACACTTCCAGGGATGGGGCATCCACAGCTTCTCTGGGCAACCTGTTCCAGTGCCTCACCACCCTGTCCGGGAAGAACTTCTTCCTGATATCCAACCTAAACCTCCCCACTTTCAGTTTATACCCGTTACCCCTTGTCCTGTCACTACAGGCCCTTGTAGAAAGTCCCCCCCAGCTTCCCTGTAGCCCCTTCAGGAGGGGGCCTAACAGATCGGCCTTTGCACGTGGAGTTACGCAGTTGGAATCTCCACTGGCCCGGCTACACTTTGAAAGGTTTCTCCAAGGTGCCAGGGTCTGAGGTTTCTCCAGTGACTGAAACTTGATCATCGCTGTACTTACTCTTGTATTTCAATTCTCGCGCTATAAGCTTGCTAAGCACTTTTCCCCCATTTCCTGTGGGAAACGAACAGCCTGTTCATGTGAGCATGGCCCACTCCCGTCTCCAGAGGCAGCACCTCCCTTCCCAGCTTTTGTACTGCCAACCTGAGAGCAGCACTGGAAGAACCACCGCTCCGAGCCGACACTTCGGCGCTGCACAACGCCGCGCACAGGAAAGCTGTTTTGTAAAAGCTTATTAGCAGGGGAATTAGAGGAGTGATGTCAAACCCCAACAGTCCCCAGGGAGGCCGTAACGAAAGCCGCCTGTAGAGCCGAGGCACGCAGTGGCGGGGGGGGGGGCAGGGTGTGCAGCTGCGTCTATAGAGGCCAACCCACACGTTCCGGAGGGGCAAGCCCCAGCTGATCCGAGGAAGGTGTTTCACCAACCTCAAAGCCCGGGAGTCTGTGAAGCACTCTACCTAAAGCCGCTTCATTTGTGCCGTAAGTCAGACTGCAAGCATTAACAGCGGCGAATCACCTCTGAATAACCAAATAAAAACAGAAAACTAACGTCAGCACAGGAGACACGACAGCTGCCCTGCCACTACTTGGGACACCCCTCAGGTTAACGCCAACATGATGCCTCAGCGTGTCACCACTCAGCAGGGCCACGTCGTGATCAACACAAGCAGGTAACCAGGAGCTCACACAACTCCCAAAACGTGAAACAAACCATCCAGAGCAGATGGGAAACAACCCCCCCAGCTGTCTCTCCACATGAGCCCAGCTACTAAAATCACGACGGATGCTCCATCACCATCTCAGGGACGGGGCAGAGCCTAACCCAGACTCTGGCTGCATCAGCCTGCACCGTTCAGTCTGTTTGCCGAGGGAAAGTACAACAGACTGCGGAGGGGTGCAGCAGGCTCCTCAGTGTATTAGGCAGGACATGGAACCAGCTTTGCTGTGTGGTGATTCAATGTCACCTGGGCTTCATCTGAGACCAAGCGCTGGAGAAAAGGATGTCAGGAACCAGACGTGTTGAATGCCACCCAAAAGCCACATCAGATTCACTCACCTGTTATTCTCTTTTCTTTATTCAAGCCAATCTGCAACCACTGATGTTCATCACTGACAAAAGCAGCCCATGGAGGACCAGCCCTTTTTAGCCTGGCATTTTCAGGTTTCCAAATGTTCACTTCTCCTGTTTGGTCAGACCACTCAAGAACAGACGATGCCGTGATCTGGGAATCGGGGATTACCCTGGATTCCATCCCGAGTGTCCCATAGCAACCTGAACAATAGAAAAGGTGATGATTCAAAATGAAAATTCAAGTTAACTCCAAGCAGGTAAAATAACTGTGTAAGACTTCACATGCAAGTACTAAACTGCCATCCAAATTTATTCTGTAGCAGCACTGCCAACAGCACACACCGTCTTCTGCTTCCTAACAGTGATGCTGGAACCAAACTTGTGGTCAGGAGTATTCCATGATTTATGCCTGCTCCAGAGTAATGCGGATATTCTCTCAACCACCACCCACACAGAGCACAAGATGAGAAGCTCTGGGGGAGCTGTCACGGTTCAAGAGTGCGTGTGGTTCATGCAGGACGGGAAACAGACTATTGATCACTTGTTCCTTTTTTGTGCCTGTATAACTTGTTGGTTTTTACACCCACCTGAGTACCACAGTGCTAATTCAAACCATACACCAGAGCATGTAGGGAGTGATGTCATAACTGTGGCCCTGAGCTCAAACATGTCCTTGAAATCACTTGTATTTTTTGTCACCATTCTTACTAGAAGTTTATTCCCATGTCCCATTCTGCTGATGGCTAAAAAACATCTCCTTGGCTCCTGGCTAAATTTTCTTGTGGGTAGTTGATAGCCATTTGTGCTTTGCTAAAATCTTGTTCTGTAGCACTGACAACTCTTCCCTCTCACGCAGGTATTGCCCAGACACAGCAGTGAAGAGCCAGCCTGCACGACCCAGCCCGGTTTCCCTCTCCCGCCGGGCCCCCCTGCAGCCCTCCTCTGCACCAAGGGCAGGCGCCCATCCCTCAGGGGAGGTGCAGGTGGCAGAGCCCACGTCTCGCTGGGTGCCAGGCACAGCCTTGCCCACGTCCCTCTGGATCCCAGGCACAGCCCTGCCCACCTCCTGTGCCACAGCATTAACAGTTCGCTGTCTCCACTGGATGAACTTCACCTGCTGGAGCACAGGATCACAACAGCCCTCCGCTAACCGGATCCTTTCCCTCAGCCGCTATTTCCACCTACCATGCTGCCAGGCCTTCCTGCACAGCCACGTTCTCCTCCCCCTGCGCTGACCACACCTCTGGCGTTAACAACACGCTCTCCTTGAGTGTGTGCCAAGCAGAACCACACTAGTAACTCCACCACAGTCTGATAAACCTCATCTGAGCACACCAGAGAGCCCTCTTCTCCCCTCAGTGAACTCCTGGGCCACCCAACTCCTTATGTTCTAATCTAGACCTGCATCTTGTCGCCAGCTAATTCAGTATTGCCACTCAAATGTGCCACTGAAATCCTGATAGTCTGAATCAGCATTCTGTCCTATCTCTTCGTATTTCCAGGCCGTTTAATTACTTCCACATACACTATCCGGTCACATTTTGAAAGCCAAAAAACCCAACAGACCCCGCCTTGATCACAGTGCTCAATACGCTCCACACATAAGGACACCAGACATGCAGTTGCTTCGTCCAGCTCCTGCAGAGCTCTGGGGGAGAAACTGAGTAGTAATGGGTTATATTTTCTAATTTTTGCTTGTTTGTGTATGTTTCCATCTCCAAACACTCCTGTCCGTCAGATTCCTGCCTTTATATCCCCATCCAGCAACACTTTCAGTTATATATTAGGACAAGCGTTTGTTTACTTTTAAGGAGAATGTGTATGATTTCCCCTTCGATTGTTTCACTTTATCCTTACAGAAAACAGACATAATGCTTTTGTTAGGGGTTTTGATAACAGTATAAAAACCCCCTGAAGAACCTAAGGAAAGGCCACTGCCCTCACAAGTCTTCCAACATCTGTTCAAAGACGGCATTTAAAGTGACTTACAGAGGAGATCGCTCCCATTTCAACAACTACAGGTAATTTATGTGAAAACCAGGTAGTTGACAGTAAGCCATGCAAAGCGATCAAGGTTAAGAAGGGAGGAACGCTCGTTACACCACTCGGCACCCGGGTACTCATTTGTGAAACGAACCAGGGCAGCCGGGGGGAACACGACTTGCACACACAGAGCAAGGCCCTTCCAGAGCAAGGGACAGTAATTTATCACATAGCACAGAGTGCAGGAATATGGGAGGAAAAAAAAAGGAAAAGGAGGTGGAGAAAGTTGAGGAATCCTTTTGGGACTTCCGCTAGCATTCTCAGCGGGCAACAAGTGTAAGGATTAGACCTGGAAAAAACCCTGGAACTCAGCGTTGTTACAAATAAAGAGCAACTCTCAGGTGCCCAGCGCAGCTGTAGCAGCGTGTTCGGAGCACAGGAGTGAAGTCGCTTCACAGCGGGCTGAAACAGGAACATCACCTGAAGGAAGCTTTCTGCAGATGAGCAGGGCTTACTTCACCCGTCGCGTTAACTAATCCAAGTGAGATGGCAAAACAATTCAAAAATACACATTACTGAGGAAGCAGCTAAATAAAATTCTAACTAGAACAAACATTAAGAAATGACACCTGCACACTTACTTCTACTCACAGAACGTGTACAAAAGCATCAAGGTGTAATAGATGTGATAACGCTTACCGCTTGTCTTAAACGTGAAGAGACTTGTCGACAAGGGTCCCCTGCAGAGAAGAAAAGATGGGTTTTGTGGCAGTCGGTGAGGGAACTTGAAACAAACTGTGTTCGCTTTACATTGCCTGTCTGCTCACTTGCCACGGCAGCCTGCGCACATAGGCTGAACGCGCGCTTCCCGATGACCGTAACGCTCCTGGCCACCGCGCTTGTGCCGAACGCGCGGCGGCACCTTTTCAGCCGAGATCTACTGCAGAGATACGGAGTCGAAGGCAGAACGCAAAACTGACTGAAATGCTCCCTTTTCAATTAAGCTAATCATCATAACGAGAATCGGTCTCCTCGGACTGCTTTCCTTCCTGGGACTCCTGAGACAGAAGGACAAGTTACACTCTTGTCCCTGCAACTGCAAAGTTGCCATTAAACTATGATTTTTCCACAGACCATGAGGAATTTATGGTCCTGCCAAGCGTTGTGGAAGATAAAACCTCCTTGCTGAATTTGGAAAATTAATGTCTAGGGGTTAAAAATACCTGGTAAAACAATCAGACCATAGCAAGAGAGCACGGCGAGAACCTTGCAGAGAAGCCGTCCGGGGAGCCCGTAGCTCTGCCAGCTGACATTAATCCCCCGATGAGACACTACCAGGATCTAAGGTGCTGAAGAGAAGGAGAACACAGGACGTGCACTTACGCTTTTGAGGTGACGTTGTTAGCCAGGGAGCCTTCGTAGTACGGAATGCCCTTGCTGATTACAACGTTAATCTGGCCACCCAGAGTATTGGACACAACGCCTGCGTGAACGCCAGCCATACACAGCGATGACGACTTGAAGAGGGGAAAGAAGAAAGATCGAGAACCACACTGTAACTGCGTTGAACACTACGCTGCGTGCTGTAAATGCTGCACTGCCCGGTTACAGTCGCCGTTGTTATTACATTCAGAAACCGTGCTTACTTAACCAGTATCTCTCTTGGTTAGAAGCCATTCATCTTTGGTTTATTATGGAATTCTCAAAAACGGCAAAAGAAGCCCCTGCATTTCACTCCATCCTCGCCCAGACGTATCTAAAAGGTAACTCCTGTAATCAGATAAGCTCCAACAAGCAGCAAGGTGAATCGGCCTGAAAAGGCCAGGCAGCCACATTTTCAGCCTACGGTAATCTTTTATGTTGAACACCACAAGCTGAATGCATAAATCCACAGGAAGCCTTCTAACAGAAAGCACACTGGAGATATGTTAATTCATTTTCTCAGTTACGGAGTGATGCACTGCAGATTTCATAGCTCTTAACTGACGGGTTATGTTTTTTTACTTTAACTCATGGCTAAACATGGTTCAACCATCCGGCAGCCTGATCACACAATTCATGCCGAAGCAGCTGATTACCGAGGCTGTACAGGTCAGTGGAGATCAGCTACACAAAAAAACCCAGTTTGCAGGACATCCTGTTCTTTCCTTCTCCCCCTGGACAACCGTTAGCCCAGATCCGCCTACAGACGTCAGGGTGGCATGTTCATCTCCCTGGCTTGAAGGCTTGCTGTGCCACGGAGAGCAGCACTCGCTCGCTACACCAAGTCCTTCGGGCACGGCACAGAGTGAGCAGAGGAAGATGCCCATCTCCCAGACCAAAAGTAGCCTGGGAGATCTCCTCCAGCTGGGAAGCAAACCTTGCCAGGGCAAAGGGGCTTGACCAAGGAACACCCTGGGACTCAGTTCCGAAAAAGTCTCAGCAGCAGCGGCTTTGCACACACCCACCGCCTGCACCAGGGTTTCCAGAGGACTGCCGACTCGCACAGCACGGCAGGCACAAGCAGAGCTATTCACAGGCGTTCTGGCAGCGTGCAGCCCTCGGGTGCGCACGCACAGGCAGCGGCTCTGCGGCCCCTCGCACATAACCAACGAGGCTGGGATCAACCTCATTTTAGAAGATCGAGTGGGCCCAAGCTGCCTGCGAAGGACCACTTGGCCATCTCCCAGTATTCCTTCCAGAAACGTGTAGGTTGCTATTACTCGTGTGGTATCCCCGAGCGGAGTTACCCGAGTCCGTACGCAGCAGACGAGGAGCGCAGACTTGTGTGTACGGTCACAGTCGATCCGGAGCCGGCTGCTAGCCGCTGCTGCCAGACACACCTGCTGCACTGCACTGCTCCGCCAGCGGAGCCTCGCCACAGCTCTTTAAGGGGGAATCAGCAGGTCCTTTCCAGAGAAGGAAGACTTCACGGATTATTTTCTTTCTCACATTATTTTAAAGAGAGAACAGCTTTCTCCAGCGCGACTTCTTCAGAGATGGCTGTGTGCTGCAGCAGGCCTGTTTCGCAAGCTCACTGGCAGACACACCCTGCTCACCAAGACCTTTCCAAACGTAGTACACCGACATATAAAAACTCTAACCCTATGCTCCCCTTTCCATGACAGGGCAGGCATGGAATTCTGCAGCAGATGCAGCCTGCTCCTCCCCGCTCACCAGCAGATGTCGGGTATGAGCGCTCCAGGCCCTCAAGGACTGCGGGCATTAGGGTCACACACAAAGGATCAAGGTTTAGGGTATGTTATCAAAGCAGCAAGCAGCTGCTTAGCATTGGAACGAGACGCACGAGGAGCCTCTGCCTGAAACTGTCTCAAGTGCTGGGCAGATTGATTTCTTTCCACACTATACTTTTGCTATACTTTATGGCTTTCTTTCGGAGCCATAAAGTATACCAAAAGTCACCCGGCATTTATTTCCTAACATTTCCTTTTTCCTCCACAGAAAACAGTTTTTCCAGATTTTGGCAGAAAACCTCCCAACAAGCAGGACTCCTACGGATGCTGCAGGTATGCTGGGCAGAGCACCAACTTCCCTGTGTTTCTGGCTACAGGAATTGCCTCCCAGCCCTTCAGTGAGGACTAGCTGTGCACCACCATGTGTAGCGCAGTTACGCTGTGCTGACACTCTTCCATGGGGGTAATTATTTAAGCAGGTAGCCTGGGTTTACAGATATTTGAGAAAGGAAAATCAAAAAGGGACGCTTTGGCTTCATATTAAATATTAAAATCTTTGCCTCATAACGATTTAAAACTGTCTTTCCTCTGTGCTAGATCTAACGGCACTACCTGACCTCTCGGAGGTGGCAGGATGTGAAGCACCAGCCACCGAGCAGCTCGGTTCGGTGCAGGAGGTACACATTCCAGAACGCAGGCAGCAGAACCAACGCCAACAACTACGTTTGACTTTGAACTGTGCAGCGCGTTTTACCAGAATTCACACGAGCCCATGGTTCTTTTTACTTACATCTCTGTATCCGTGGGGAATGGTGCCTGAAGTATCGGCGAAAGGAATCACACATCCAGCTGGACAGTACTTACTGGGAGAGAAGAGAATCTCAAGTCAAGACATGCATGCAGCTACAACTCTTACGGTGCTGTAAAACAGTCACTGCTCTTTGGATTTACAATACCCTGTTAGCATTCCTATATCACTAGTAAAGGACAGATCCTAACTGAAGACACGCCAAATCAGACAGGAACAATACTCAGGAAGAGAAGTGCACCTCAGGAGAACGAACATTTGAAAAGGTTTTTGGAATGTCTGAGCTGACACTGCAGTTCCAATATGATTAATTAATTAAGCCAGCTTTTTAGAATACAGATGCTGTGTGGCTTCTGTAAATTGAAACTCATATAACCACCAGTATTAATGAATTCTATTTTATAAACCAGAACCCTGCGTGTCTGTTGGTTTTGCATCTTTAAGTAACGCATCTGAAAGGTAGTAATATTTTACACCAGCTCCTGGCAACGCTCTGATCGTAGAACACCGCCCACGTGCAGTTAGTACCACGAGCTCCTGGAGAGCAGGAGGCAAGACGCGCACCTCTGCTGCAAGCCCGGGTTCCCAGCCTAGTGCCGCTTCACCCCGCATGCACCAAAACCATCGCATCTTCCAGACCTGACAGCGGCCCGGGGCACGCCGTTAGCATTTTCACTGCAGTGCAACAAGCTGAAGGGACACTGCTGGTAGATGACAACAGTGGGAACTGGGGACTTCGCACATGTCGAGCAGGGCCAGAACCTGCCACTACGGCCCTGTTTGGGCACTTGGGAAGATGAGAGAGAAGTGCAAAGGTGGCACTCTGAAACATTTCAGGCCACGGCTCAAGTTCTCCATGACAGTCTGCAACTCCCCCCGCTGTCCTTGCTTTAGGTGGAAATGGAGAGGGAAGCGCTCAGGAACCAACATACCTTTCCCCCATAAAGCAGGAACAGCGTTTTATGTCCCTACAGGACCTCAGTAATTCACACCAAACTGTGCAATGGGTTTGCTGTTTTCAGCCCATTTCATAGTTCAGCGCTCCTTTGATAACTGCAATACGAATGTCGGTATTTAAGGCGTACACCTGCTGCGATACGTGTTCGCAATATCCCTTCTGGGGGAACTCCTATGTCAGTGCAGATTAACGAGGTTCTACTGCGTTCTGCACGAAAGTAACCAAACTGGACAGAGAGGGCAAGAGCGAGACGGGAAGGGGGAGTGCAAATACCAGGATTACTCAGCTCCAAGCCTAATTCACTCATTTCTGAAGCGCTCTGGGCAGCCAATTTTCAGGTTGCATCAGGTATAAGTAACAGTGTGGAGCAGCAAAACTAAAATTACTTTAATAAAGAGGTTGTTGGGGAGAGAGGTAAAAGTCAGTCTTACGTGAATTCTGGTTCGGAAAAGTGACTTGCATTGTCTAAACAGGTAATTAGGTCTGGAAAGAAAAAACAGTAGGTCAAGAGGATGATAGAGACACAAGTTTGAGTACGCTAAAGTGCACAGCAGTATACATTTAAGCCTCTGTGGCTTAACTGAAAGTCACAGAATGAAAAAACAAACACGTTCCTACTAAAATTTCTTGCAACAGATTTTGTGTTACCATAGGACCTTGGTAATTTGTCTGAGTAACGGGGAAATCCGCTGAGAACGTGACATGGACAAGAAGAGAAACACTACAAACGTTCCTTCCCTGTGCAGCTTAATCTTAATTGGCAGCAGTACGTCAGAGACCCTGACATAATTCCGAGAGACAAACAGACGCCCCTCTCACAGAGCCAAATTAATAAGCTACCCAAATGGGCCTGTGGGCTCAGCATTCAGCGGTCCTACCGTGCTGAAACCAGGCAGCTGAGGAACAAACGTGAGCGTCATGTTACTGGCATCCACTGCTATCTCCAGTTCCGTGTCTGCTGCCTACCAGCACGTACAGTACAGAGACAGAAGCATGAGAAAACCCACAAAACAAAAATTAAAAATGAAAACTATTTCCAGAGTTACTTCTGGAAAGGGTTTTCTCACCCTTGCGTCTCGTGAAGCAGCTGCTGCCAATCCTTCTTCATCTTCTCATGGTCCGTGTACGTCACACACCGTTACAGTGAGCGGAAGGAGACGCAGAACGGACACAGCAACCTCTTTGAGAGGCTGGAGTGACCAAACACAAGGCAAAAACAAGAAATGGCAAAAAGACTAAAAAGTAGTCTGCAGATTATATCCTTAAGGAGTTGAGGGGGTATAGGCAACTGTTACTGAAGTAGAATTTTCCACAAGGCTGGTCTGTATAAAAAGCACCTCTGGATAAGAAAAAATTTTAGTTATCTGCCATCCTGAATGCTACCTGAAAAAATGCATTTTGCCCTTTATCTGATCAGAGATAACCGATTCCTGCTCTGCTCTCCAGGGCAAGATTTGAACCATTTCTTTACAACTACAGTAGCTTAAACAGGAACTGAACAGTCCAGTTTCCTACACAGAAGTATCAGAAGACAGTATTCTAAGTCTTCATTTCTGGAAGCTGATTTGTGAGAACGCAGGAATCGGCGTATTAGCTCTGTGTTGTTACTAAACAGCTCCGATTTTACCAGCACAGAAACATGACCAAATGACAACAAATACCTGGTTTGTCAGTGGTTGAATAAGCTGCAAGAAATCCACGTCCAGAGGTGTGTGTTCCACTCATGAACTGTACCGTGACTTCATTACTTTTTGAAGTAATTAAACCATCCATCTGAAAGCCAAACCCACAGTATTTCCCTGCAGAGAGAAAGGGGAGACCAAAACCAACCTCAGTAACAAGCCTCTGTTTGCGTTTGCAGTGTGAAGCTCGCATGACTCCTCACCCACATTCAGAACAAAAACCCCAACACTAACAGTCACTGCCCACGTAAAGCGAACGGCGGAGCGTGGGCATCGCACTGCGCTGTCACTGCCAACAGGGGAGAGCCTCTGTGCCCCTAACGTGTCGCCTCACAGTCCTTCAGAGACCACGAGGAATCTGCTAAGGAAGAGGATCAAGTTAGGGCAACAGGAACCATTTGCGGAAGCAAATGAGGCACAAGCCCCTCTCCTCCCCCAGCTTTTGGGGCAGTTCTTCCCTGCTGACTACTTCAGGGCTTCTGTCAAGGACTGGTCTGCACTTTGGACAGCAGCAGGCCCAACGCGTTGCACAGCCACATTAACGGACAAGCCTACGCGAGTACCGCTGACACAGCCAGCTGGCTCGCTCGCTGCTGCTGCACCTGTAAAACCCAACAGAGGTTCTGCATCTCGACGCTTCTCTTGCTACCCAAAACGACCACAAAAAACCCCACTACAGTTTAAACTGAGATGCTGGAATCTGCAGATATTGGCAGCGTTTGCCTAGGAAATCCCAGAATTACTACCAAATGACATTACTGTTAAACAGCCCCAAGTCAAGATGGAATTCTCCAGTCCTACTGACTAGTTAACAAAATACCCATCAGTCTATTAACCTGTTAAGGAAGAACAGTGTTTCCTGTTCTACAGGCTCCCTTGACCGTTCAGGGCTGTAAACCACCAGCAGCCCTGTCTGCGACTCAGCAGTGGGTAACCACCGGCAGCAAGCGACACCGCATGCATTTCACTCGGCCCTTCGCTGACTTGCTGTTGCGGTAAGTACATTACCAGAGCCTGAAACGGTGAAAAAGGAAGTCAGGCTCCCTTCGCAACTACAGGCCAGTTACAGTGCTGATGTAGGGGGAGTGGAGTAAGAACTGTTCCTCCAGGGCAGTCTTAACAAAAATAACCCAAAACAAATAGAGTGTGTATGTCAAACTCCTTTCAAAAGTGACCTGCACTCTCAAACACTACCAAACCAGGAAAAATGAGAAGTACAAATTCCTGTGATTTTTCAGAGCTATCTAAATGTTGCTTATTCAGGTATTTCTTGAACAAAGCAAGGGTATTTTCTAATGAAAAACCAGAAAAAGGGTTTTACAATACTTTATATAATACCATAAGTTTAATTAAACACCACCTTACCTCAATTCACTACTTAAACCAGTTGCCAGCAGGTTACAGAGAAGTAGGTTCCCTTTTACCAAGGATCCACACTGACCTGTGTTTTGCTCTAAGTCATGTTTAATTCATTAATTGCATTCGTTATGACGAAGTGCATCATTTCTCCACCCACCACTTGAAGTTTTGTTTTCAGCCAGTGGACCTTGTTACATGACTGACCAGCACGAGACTCCTCTCGGGGTAGGTCAGGCTGTCCAAAGACACCATTGATCCTCTTCTCCGGGCAAACACACAGGGCAAGACATTCAAATGTAGCTCAGATACACTAACCGGCGCGGCACGCACCACGGAGATACAGCCTGTGACAACCTGCAGACCTCATGATTCCCAGCAAGACGGCTTTTTGAGACGATGAATCATTTTTCAAACTCGTCCCTGGCCTCAAGCCCCATTTTTCGCAATTTTTTAAAAAGGAGGCAGTAGCAATGGATAAACACGGCTGTCATGACGCCTCCGTCAGTGGCACGTGCAGGTGTAATATCACCATTTTGCCTGGACTTAGGTATGGAAGAACCCCAGCACAGCAACATAAACAGCAGCGGAAGGAACTCCCACGATAGCTTATGTACTCTGCTCCTACAGATCCGGGCTTACGTTGTAGGCATTAGTAGGTACATCTGACTGCAGACACACCGCACAGTGACTGGACTGTGATGAAACCCAGCACACAACACCTCCAGATCTTACCTAAACTAGAGACACACTTAACACTGAGGATTTCAATGTTCTTTGGGTTTGCTGAGAAATACTCAAAAGACTAGCCCTTAATAGCTTCATCAGAAACCTCCTCTGTTTATCACTGCACTAACCCACTAACAATTCATTTCTGGATCTAATCAGCAAATTTTTCAGTCACTTTGGGTTAAAGTGGGTATCACTGATTTTCAGATCTTACGTAACACAAGTATTGTAACGTTCGACCATGTCAGTAGCCTTGGACAGAAGAAACTTCGGAAAAATCCCTGTTTCTTCCAAACAAATCCAGGTGAGTTTCATCTCTCCAGTGTTTTTTTTGCTTCAAACATGAACATTCAAGAATCTGCATCACCTGTACGTGCCACTGTTAATGGCACTGTTTGTTCTGCAACTTACTTTATTAAGAGCAGGACAACACACGCATTTGCTCAACATCCCGTGCTGCTGCACCAGCTGGGAACAGCTGAAAGTCAAGAGAAACTAAGGAGAAAATTTACTCGAACCCATAAGTCACTTGTAAAAGTGAATAATAGACTTATCAGAACTGGACATTCCTTGCCATTTAAGGACTGCAGCGTTTCCTATTATAGACCAAGTCTGGCTCAGCAGCTCCGAGCACAGCCTTATTTTCACACACACTTACCTAGGTAACGGTTGAAAAAGAGGGTTAACAAAGCTAACAGTCCTCTAGCCTCTTCATAAAAACACTCTTATTTAGTGGGATCCTCATCTGAGTTGCACAAAAACAGTCTTGCTGAAGTAAATCTCTCTCTCTCTCTCCCCCCTCCCTAAGGAAAGAAAATAAAATTAAGCTGCACAGTAACTGTTGAGTGAAGGAAAAACGGCAATTATGTTGAGTTTTATGAAAAGTAACCACAAGGGTCTTAAAACCCTACATAAACCTTGATGTAGATGATGTCACAATGCTATTTGAAAAAAAAACCCAAACCTGCCTTATAGTCAGGAAATGCAATTTCTCCTCTTAAAGAGGAAAAAATTAAACTATGGACATTATCAGACAAGGGGGAATATTTGAACTGCACAGCTACTGAAGCCTGGCATCCTTTAATGCCACCGAGGTGAACAGCTCAAATCAGAGCTATTCCATATGAAAAGAAAGGCATTTCAGGTATGATACATAAACTACTATTTCTTTCTTTCTTTTTCTTTTTTAAAGAAGACCTCCATAGTTTTGCAATTCCCTCTCCACCGCTTACAAGAACTTTGCTAGCTACTGGGAAATATGAGGAAAAAACCCATTACAGTGGTTTCCTTTGAGAATGTGAAGAATCAAAGATTATTCCAGGATCTGTGTTGCATTTGCCATCTAATTGTTGTATGCACGAACAAAATGCGGGATGTTTTGCTACCATTGTTACCCATCATCTTTTCAGTACACTTTTAGGTTATACAAATTGTGTCAAGACAGACAGGCATTTATTATATACACTTCAACAGCAGTAAAGAAAATGCAGTTGCTTAATAATTACATGAAGAACAGTCTGGCATTCCAAACAGAGAGCTCATCTGCTGAGCAGCCATGAAATGAGCACGGCACCAGAGAAAGGGACACTCACACTAACGTTTTCTTTACTGCTCTTACAGTTATGGTTGCACCCGTACTCCATCCCACTACTGAAGACCTGTACAACCTACAGGAGGAACTTGTCTTAGTTGTGCTTTCTAGCAGTGCTATCACAAATTTCCTAAAACTGGTCCCTGATGGCTGTTTCTCTACTGGGGAGAGGTATACACAGCACACCTCAGAGTTTTGCAGCGGTTCCCCGATGTGAAGCTCAGGCAAAAACACAACTCTGACCACAGGATTACTGAAAATCCTTTGTTTACCTTATTTGAGATTCCTGCAAACAATAAACACTTCCCTCTTTTCATCACTTCTTGTAAGACTCAGAATCCACGCTGTACATGTATCCTGTATTCAGGCAAGGTCTTACCCTGCCCAATACCCAACTGAATTACAACAACTTTCTAGGGCTACGAAAAAGAACTGAACAAATACCACACCATTAGCAGTTACTCTATGCTAGGGCAGGTAAACGAGGAGAAATCTAAAAAGCAACAAAAGTACTAACAGTATCTTCCAAGTTCTGTAAGACAACGGCTTTCAAACAGCAGTAATAAAAGCTCCTACCGATCTCTGTCCTGTTGGGGCCAATCCCATTGTGAACCCTTAAGTAACTGGAGTGACAGGAATCCGAGTCGTCAATATCAAAATCGCCAAATCTGAGCTGAACCCGCTGCCCAGGCTTCACACGAATTTCCCATTCGCAGACTGTGCTGTTGGGAGAGGTCTGTGGGTAGTTTATCGAAGCAAGAGTTCCACTTTCAGGGCCCAGAACGGTGTGTCCGCATCCATCACCTACAAAAGAACAAACAGAAATCAGCTGCGTGTGTTCACCCCGAAAGCGTCGCCGGTGCTTTAGCCATCCTGGTTTTTAGCAGTGTATAATGTGAGTTCTGTCGGGTTTTAACCACAGGAATCACAGCGCAAGAAGGCTCCAAGTTGCATGCAGATGAAACAGCAATTGTGAGAAAGCACCACTCGACTAATACTGCCTAACGTGTAACTTCTCATCACAGGTGACCAGAGAGCGGCTACAGCTTCCTCAGCGATGCAAGAGTTAATCCATAATGACTTGAAAAATTGCACAGACCCTACAGAAAGTGTCCCTGCTATTTCATCTTCCCTCAGCGCCTCTGTACGGAGGAAAGCAGGTTCTGAAAAGGAGGGAGAATCCCGCCAATGAAAGAAGAGCACATCAGTTCTGCTGCTGTCATGGTGTTGACAACCCAATGGAAGTGGAAAGGCAAGGGATGCCAAAAAGGCTACAGAAAATAGCTGCCAGGCCTGGCCATCATCAGACTGCCAGTGCACTGCTTTCTACTGTGCCACGATCCCAGTGCTGTCATTAACTCCTACAGCTCTTCACAGAACACACACCGTTTTGCTGGATGTGTACAACAAATCAAATTGTAACTCCAGCCTGGAGCCCTCCACCTAACAGCTGCAGCAATAATAACTGAAAAAAGACCTGTTGGACAAGTGGAAAAAATAGCATGTTGTGTATTCACAAAGTCAGATTTCAAAGAGCGAACTGATGAATCTGTTCACCCAACAGCTGGACATGAATTTCCCCCAGCATGCAGTACAAGCGCAAGAATGTGTGCGTTGTTTTGGAAATAAGAGAGTTTTTTAACTAACACCCATCATCCCTGGCTCTTTATAAATTACTGTATCAAGATGAAACGAAGCATTCCTGAGCACAAGGACACATCCAGCAAAACTGACACCTGCAACAACAGGAGCCCCACAAAACAAGCCTTGTAACAAAGCCTCTTTAGGACTTAGTCCCATGAGAGGAGTAGGCCAGGAACAGCATTATCATTTTCAAAATGTGACACTAGAAGGTCCGGAGACCTTTTGAAAGAGATCTGTACACATTATCCTAAAGGCAATCAGGGCCACTCAGGATCTTGAACAGAGTAATGTAAGCACAAATACCACAGACAAAAATCACATTTTATATGCTGCTAAAATATGTCTACGACACCACCCCGATGACATTTATTCTCTGTAGGTCCATTTTACCCTTCAAGATTCATGCCTCTGTATACAGCACCTACCACGTGATTACAACATATTTAACATTACCTCAAGATTTCACACTCTAGAAATTCACAAGAATCACCAGCATTTGTACTGAGATATGTTGTTTTGACAGCTAAAAGCCACAGTCTGAAAGTGTTTCATATTACACTCTACTAGGTGTAGCTCCCTACTAAACCTGCAAAGGTAAGCTAAGCTTCAGGACAAAAATTGTACACATGTAAGAATTTCAACTAAACTCCAAAATTCTGAAATGTATTTCACACAAGACTGAATGGAAAAGTGAGTCCAACACACTGAAGTGACACGGGAAAGAAACTGCGGCACTTAACTAGGTCTGATTATTCTGTTTGCAAGGGCACCTGATTTCCAGTAACGAAACCTGTTCTCTCTCTGACCTGAGTGCATTTAAAGAGAAAGCCCAAGTGCTGCTGCTATATACAGAACCAGAAGTAGATGCGAACTGCAGCTTTGTCCTGCCAGCAGCCTTGAATCCAAATGATGCGTCTGCTTTCTAAAAGGTCCCTGGAGCACGTGCTTCAGTAAAATCCAAAGTTCTATTTGTAAAGCTGCGTTTTAGCCATGTTTTTCTTTAAAACGCTTTGTTCCATACCATGACAAATACTATTTCCTTTTGGGTGACAGCGGATGAATTGCTTTCCCAAATCGCTGTTGTCCTAACACACGAGACAGTTGTCCAACATTACAAAGAGGTAACTTAAACCGTGTGTTTTGTGTATCGTTTTAATCCTCGTTTCTTTCCAAAGGCATGTTTTAAACCTAAGAGAAAGATTTATCACTCAAACCCTGTATGGCCTTGGTTTATTAGTTAGCAAACCTTTAAATGTCAGATTCCTTATTAGTCCCAATATGCTTAACATTCAAGAAAAATACTGACTCCTTTGCTGGTCAATGGGCTTCTTGCGAGCAAGTACTCACACGCATCAGAACACAGGAAGGTCAGTCTGTTAACAATAACACCAACAAATATATACTAGGCCTTTATCCATGGCGATGCCTGTGGTTAGTATTTCAAAATTCTTTATACTGCAGACATATAAGATTAATTTCCAATGTAAGCAGCAGCCAGGTTTAGGTTATGTCCTAAATAAAAACAATGAGCCAGTTAGCCTGTTCCGTGCCTTTCCCATCCTGTGACAGGGTGAGCAACCTTTCACTCCTTTACGGGTTGAAAATCCTATGCACAATCCAGAGCACTTGGCAGTTTCTCATGGCAGCGGGCCTGTCGCTGGGGTGCAGTAAGCACACAAAGGCTGTTCCTTACACCCGGGAATACCAGTAACGCACGTGATCACCTGTCCTTGGTTCTTCCTCACTCCTTTGCCTCTTAAGCCTATGCTGCTGGAAGTCAAAGACAGAGGAGGGCTTGGGTCTCCTTCTCTGCCCCAAACTGTATTTAAACTGCAAATTTCTGCAGTTACAAGTCAAAAAATCCATGCCTAACATTCATTTAAACCATCCTCTTGGCTAGTTTGCTGTTAGCCCTCTCAAGCATGAAACAACACCGGCGCTGCGCTTGTACGATGAACAGGGCTCACCTCTCTGATGAGAAAAGCTGAAGAACTCCGAAAACACTCAAACACTTTGAGGTGATAAAATGCAAATAAAATATTGTAATCTTTAAGAAGACATTGAGACTTTTCTTTTAAAGACAAATTGCTAAGAAACATCACATTTCCCCCTGGAGCTTGGAACAATCAGTCTTGCTTCCAGTGGCTAGACAGAAAAACTTTCTGGCCCATCTCATGCAGTTTAATGGAAATGCCAATCTCAATCTCCCTTTTCTTGTAGGCTTTCATAAAAACATGTGAGGAAGAACACTTCTCTGTCCATGTTAAAGAACTTGCTGTCAAATCACACTGGAAAGGAAATAGAGTTGTGCTGAACTGCATCTACAGCATCAACTTGCTGTGATGCCAGTTTTTCAAAGCAGCTCGTTCTGACTGGGCATCCAGATCTTGCTGAGTTTTTCACTTTGGTTCGTGACAGCAGAAGTGCCAGACGCTTCATGCCTGAAGAATTTTAAGCTTACTACTGCGTGTCCGGCATGCAGCATACAGCCTGCCAAGGGCAGCAGCATCACTCAGGAGCTATTTGGATATTTCTAAAAATCACACTCGCAGTGAAACTTGCAGAGCAACGAAACCTCATTTTATGTGATTGGTACGAGAAGGGGGGAGTCCTTGAGCCTCTCTGTGTAAGCAGAGCTCCACCAGTTCTGCCAAAGCAATATAAACGTGAGCGATCAGCTCCAGAGACACATACATAAATCCTGTATCAGGGCAGTGATCTGCAATACGCAGCCTCTTCTCCAAGAAAAACAGAAAGCACAATTCTTTGCACTGTGGCCACGTGTGTGGGAGCATTAACTACTTAATTAATAACTTCCAAGCAAATGAAGTGCCACAGAATCGCTTGCTTCTGTTAATCCACGTGCATGAGAGGGGAGTATCTGCGAACATGCAGAAGAGCCAGTCGTCGATTCCTAAATCCATTATTCTCCAATGGGCTGACAACTTCTGTCAGTACTCAGCTGAAGGGGTCTCTTGCTCTCCTTCAGCCCCCTCCGTCGCACAACAGACCTACCGCGTCCGCAGAACAGGTCAGGCTCTTCACAGAAGCACCAGACCGCCCGCACGTACACGCTGCACATGGTAGCAGCAGGAAGGCCTGCATGGTCCCACATGCCCCGGGGACCATGTCCACAGCAAACATGCGTAAGCTCGGCACTTCACCACAATGTGGTTGAGAAACACGGGCGTTCTCAAGAAGCCGCAGAGGAAAGCAGCCCGCTGTCGTCAGGAGAGCCATCCGTCTCTTCTGCGGGTGCCTTCGAAGGCAGTCTGGATGAACTGCCCTGACAGACTACGTATGACCCCCGGGCTATGGCACGCTGGTGTCTGGTGCAGTCACGCAGATGACTTAGAAGGGTTTCTCATACCCAAGTTCGCTGCATCAACAAACACCGAACCTGAACCAACACAAACATACCACAGTGCGTTGGATAAGAAGGTGAAATGTAATTAAATGAAGGACACTGTACGTGCAGGCGTGGGTGCTAACCACTCTATCCATACCCACAAAATAGATTAATTATTCTTTATAGTTGCTGGAGTCAATTAATCAGAACTTTCCCCCCCCCCCCATGGCTGCCATTAGTGAATGCTAATCTTGTTCTCACTACCAAAACATGTTAAAAATTAATCTTTAAGGCTAGAGAATGCTTTCCCATTCCTTACCTGGAGAAGAGAGAATGATAAAATGAAGACATCAGACAGTTGCAGATTACAGTCTGTAAGGCCTAAGTGATGCATATCAAAACCCCGAGCTCAATTTTAACACGTGGCACTGCCTTCTGAACACTCAACCAGTGGGTTTCCTGAGAAGATTTTACATATTTAAGCTATGATTTTCTGTGAGGTTGTGACTACATACGAGATGTCATTAAATCTTTCCCAACTAAGCAATGGTAGAATCAATTCTATTGGAGTTACGTAAGCAAAAGGATATTTTAAAGCCTGCGTTTTAACTCCAAGCACACAGCACTCCCTGATTCAACGCACGGCTGTAGTTCCTCCTCTCCTGTTTAGCTTCTGCACTGCCCTGCTCTTCATCAGTGTGCCACTGAAAGGCACCGCAGCTGCTTTCTGCTTTTCTCAGTGCGGGCAAGAGCGCTCACACAACCAGCAAACAGCTCCATGAATAACACACACTGAGGAGCTAAGGTCACAGGGACATCCAGTTCTAAATAGCTTGGTCAGGTATTTTCAAATGCCCTTATTTGTGTCCTCCAAACTCACTGCTGCTTCCACCAGAACCACAGAACAGTGTTCTTCAGGAAGAGATCTGCTCCTCTCTCCGAATTAATTTTCTGAACAAGCCAACGAGCTCACAGTCCACCTCCATGCCATTTATTCGCCTCAGAAGCGCACTGGTTTGAGCATTCCGTCCCACTACAGATGGTTCACAACATAAATTTCCCCACGCTCCCACAGGCGAGGCCGTAGCTCAGTAACGCCGGAAGGGCCCTTACATTAGTGCAGGCACAGACAAAAGCAAGCCTTGTCCGCCCCTTGCTTCTGGCCACTTGTCCTCACACCCTGCCTGGTCCTGGGGGTAAACACTGCTGCAGGCACACAGTAAACCAGACCAGGGACCGGAGGTGGAAATAGCTGCTAGTTTTAAATCAATCCTCCAGTTTATTTAGTGTGCACATGCAGCGGTGTCTCCCCTGACAGGGCCAGGGCAGCGTGAGGGTAGGGGAACACCAGACTGCTGCCTTCACCAGCACGGCCAGCCCGCGCTCACGGTTCACACCACCTCGAATCCCTGCCAGAAACGCAGAAACCGTCCCTCCCCTGGGAAGGGCAGTCTCACACGAGCAGCACACTGGCTCGAGCTGGCTGCAGACACCCAGCGCCCTTCCCATTCCCACAGCACCGCGCTGCCAGCACTGTGCGGCTGCCAGCGGCAGGGCAAGGGACGGAGGGCGGGGGGATGGCGGCTGTCACACCTTGGCCTGACCGACCTGTGGGGCACCCTTAGAAGGGAAAGGAAATTACAGGCTGAGGTTCAACCAAGGTGCAGCAGGACAAAAGGTAAAGCACAATAGGCATTCTGCCTTCCAAAATGTTGGCAGCTCGGTAGGGGGTCGGGGAGGGAGACAGAGGCTGATTCTTGCTCTTATAGCAAAAGTACAAAATTGAAGATGCTGTTACAACGAAATTTTACTGTTTTCATTTACAACACTAGCCACATGCTGGGCTAGTGATAATTAGCACTTGATTATTCTCATCTGTAAACACAGCTTTCCAATCATCATCTCTGGAAACACAGTCTGAGCTTTCAGCCGCTGAATTTTACGCAAAAGAGCAACACTCAGCCTTGCTAAATTTAACATCCAAAACAGGGTAATGCTTTAAAACAAAGTATCTCAAATTATCACACTGTCACAGCAGGTAAGACATTTGCTTCCCCTGCTACCATGGATGAACCAAACGGACTACTTAAACCACGGACGAGAGAGAGGAGCTGTGCAGGACCGTGTCGCAGAGCTCCGCTTGCCGATGCCGGGGAAGTGATGTCACCCAGTCCCCAGGGACAGCTGTGACTTGCTGAAGCAGTGTGCTGGCAAAGGCAGCCGACAGGCAGGCTAGCCATGCTGAGAAGTGATTTACGTGAGGACTGCGAGAGGGCTGTGTCCAACCATGCAGAAGCCCTCCCGACCTGCTGCCCACGCTGAATCACACCGACTGCTCATGCTGAAAGTTGTCTTTTGCCTGGCTCGGGCTGCCTGCCCGCTGCCCAAGACGTATCACTTAGCAATCTGTACCAATGCTTTCATTAAAATAAACGCTGCTGAGCTCTAAGTGCTAGGCAGCAGAAACACCGCTGATGAAGGAGATGAAAAATAACACGCAGCTGGTCACACAAAGCTCTATACGAATAAGCAGGGGTCAGAATAGGCTTCAAGTCTCTTGTAAAGTCTTCAAACTGTTCACCACACCAGGACCAAATGAGATTTCACAAGTCTTACGTGTGTCAGCAAAGAAGCAAAAAATTCTCCAGTGAATCCAGTAATTCACATGCTAAATTAACACTACAGTCAGCTTTTTTTCCCCTCTCTTCCATTATCAGTGGATCAACGAGACCGCCCAGCCCACACCGCTGGTGGCATAGATCCACGGTGGCATACCCTGATCTAATCACCAGCTGCTGCAGTACCACCTTGCCTCTTGTAAAGGCTGCAACTTCCCACCCTGCCCGTTCCGGAGCTTATCGGACCCTTGTTGAGCTGTACAGCAGCTTTATAGCCAGGTTACCGCCCCATCTGCCTTTTACTGAGTAAGAGTAGGGGTCAGCAGGGTCTAACAATCACTGGAGCCTGCACAATGGAGAGGAGGCGCGGTAGGGACCGGGAGGGGAGGGCGAGACAGCAGCAGCCAGGGGTAAAAATCATGTCTGGCTGGCACGGAATCAACAGAAGCGGGCAGGAAGGATGCTGATGGTTTGGTGGACACAAAACAGCAGGGTATCTCGATTCTTTCAAAAAGAAAACCTCAAAGAACAGCTGGAACTATTTTCACCCTGTAGCTGCACCAAGAACAGTGATGTTAAATACCTCCTTCAAGTCTGGTGTCCAACTGATGAAACAGTAACACTCCACACCTCTACGCCAGCATTTCCTTCTGCTGGTGCAGATGACACACAGCATCATCTTCATTCCTAACGCTCATTTTCAGCTCTAATTTCAAAATTACAACAGGGACTGTTGGGGTTTTCCCATTGTGTCTTATACTTCAGGACACTAGAATGAAGCCACTCTGTTCACAACCTGTTCTAAAAGGTAATTCATTCCAAATTTTGCCTTGTAGATGTCTCCTTGGAAGGAAGGTATTTGCACACTTGTGGCTCTCTATGAATACAATCAATAAAACGAACATTATGTATTACTGAATAAGATGATTAACTAGGAAGATGATGGTAAATTTACACACTTGAGTCACTAGTTTTTAAGTGCCAAAATTATCACACAAGTATAGCAAGAGCATGTGGGAAATCAGTTTTTACTGGAACTTCCCAGACCACTATCTGTGAACTTTAAACCTGCCCGTCAGCTTTGCTGTAACTTCTCCACAGCAAGAAGAAAAGGATGTCTTGTGTTACAGAACTAGAGACCTTGAAAACAGCTCTCAAAAAATGAAGAGAAAGTAATGTAAGTGCTTTATTTGAGGTTTTCAAATAAGTCTTGAGAAAAAAAAAAAACCCATATCACACCACTGGACGTCATATGTCAGTGTTCAAAAGCACTAAATGTAACACATCTCTTTTCACCCCTGTGGTAATGAGGCGTATTTTGACACCTACCTACCATGGCATAAAAATAGAAATTAACAGATAATGTGGTTCGGGGCTTCCTGGTTTCACAAAACTCACCGATTTGTAAAAGAAAAATTAAGCACCAGTGGCTTCTTTCCACTGCACTGAACAAGGCAAGGTGTCTTTCCTCACTCCTGAACCATTTTGGAGCAAAGTTAACAACTATCAGATACAGATTAAACTGGCAACAGTCCTGCCAAGGGTGCAACAGGCACCAGCTGTGAAAACCTCTGCGGAGGCGCTGGCAAACATGGGTGCACAACACACTCCGCGTACGTGCCAGGTCACGGCAGCGAACTGGCCTTTCAGGGCCACAGCCTCTTCACTCTGAGAAGGAACTAAGCAAAATTGCACCACTGATATCCACCTCCCGTTTCCATCGCTTTCCCAATTTATCTTTCCACTCAAGATACTGAAAGTCTTTCACCTGCCTCATTCCTGTGGGATTTCTCCCCACAAAACACGTTTACATCCAAGCAGCTACACAAATCGCTTGTCTTGCCAAGTCAGACTAATACACTACTTCAGTTTCACCTCAACATAAAACTACTAGTGCCAAAATAGGATGTACACAGAGAACCGTCACAGAAGTGCTGAAACACTTCCGTGCTTCTATCCCTCTCCCTCGATACCTGAAGCTGCAACTGGGTGCTGAAAGATGACGACTCTGCCCCAACAAACAGCAATTATGAGACTTGAGAAGGATTCCTCTTCACAGTTAAACAGCATTTGAGGTCTCAGGATTGTCCAATCTAAGCCCAGGAAAACCACAAATGGATCACCAAATATGAGGAGAAAATGGCATTC